CTAGTGGTGTGCCACAGCGGTTGGTGCTGGGACCTTTGTTATTTGTTATTTACATAAATGATCTGGATGTGAATGTACAAGGCATGATTAGTAAGTTTGCGGATGAGACAAAATTAGGAGGGATCGTTGATAGCAAGGAAGGTTATCAAAAATTACAGAGGGATTTTGATCAGACGGGGAAGTGGGCTGAGGATTGGCAAATGAAATTCAATACAGATAAGTGTGAGGTGTTGAACTTTGGAAAGTCAAACCAAGATAGGACTTATACAGTAAATGATAAGGTCCTGAGGAGTGTGGTGGAACAGAGGAATCTGGAGTAGAAGTACATATTTTGTTGAAAGCGGCGTCACAGGTGGACAGGGTGGTGAAGAAGGCATATAGCATGCTGGCCTTCATTGGGTGAGGCACAGGAGTCGGGACGTTATGTTACAGTTACATAACTCGTTGATGAGGCCGCACTTGGAGTATTGTGTATAGTTTTGGTCACCCTGTTGTAAGAAAGACATAGTTAAACTGGAAAGTGTGCAAAGAAGATTTACAAGTAAATCAGGTCTAGTAGGACTGAGTTATAGGAAGAGGTTGGCCAGGATAGGACTTTATTCCTTGTAATGTAGGAGAACAAGGGATGACCTTATTGAGGTGTATAAAATCACGAGGGGCACAGATAGGATGAATGCACTAGTCTTTTTCTCAAGGATGGGGAATTGAAAACTTGAGAGCATGGTTTAAGGTGAGAAGGGAAAGATTTAGGGAGGACCTGAGGGACAACTTCTTCACGCAGAGAGTAGTGCATATATGGAATGGGCTGCCAGAGAAAGTGGTTGAGGCAGGTACAATAGCAACATTTAAAAACATTTGGATAGGTACATGGGTGAGAAGGGTTTAGAGGGATATGGACCAAATGCAGGCAATTGGAACTAGCTGAGTGGGCACCATGGTCGGCTTGGACCAGTTTGGGCTGAAGGGCCTGTTTCCAAGATTGTACAGCAAACAATCCATGTTGTATTGCTCTATAACTCTATGACCTGAGGGGCAGATGAAGTCTTGGTTAATACCTCAATTGGAAGCTGACATCCCTAACAAGGCAGCATTCTGAGTACTGCACTAATCATGTGCTCCAACCGCTGGAGAGAGACTGTACCCACAACATTCAGCCTCAAAACAAGAAAACTAACCACTGAGCCAACACTGTGACCAATAATCATCTTGATGATTGAAGACAGGCACTTCTAGTTGTTTCAGTATTAGCTCAATAAACTGGTCTCCAGCCAAGTGAATTCTTATGTATTGCAATCTAGGAAAAATACCATCCCCTGAAAAAAGTTGAAGCAAGTAAGCCAGAGTCAATTTAGCCTGTAAGGCAGGAGCACAAAGTGTTCTTGAAGTTAGCACTTAATTTGGCTGTCTCACCCACAGTAAAAGAGCACAAGAGAGGAAGAGGCACATATCATTCCTGGTTTAATGCAGAGTCTGGAAGAAATCCCTGACAACTAACATCAGATTGTATTCTAACATCTAGCCTTAAGTGAGTTGCAATTTTTTCCACCAGCAAGACCAAATCTATTGGCATCTTGCTCAACCCAAAGCTAAATTTCTGACAACTTACTTCAAACACAGTCACTACTTCCACAAACAACAAACCCTGGTTTCAATCTTACCTCAGCTCAGATATTGCTCAAACCATCAATGCTATTCACACCTTTGGATTCTATTCTTACAATTCTCTCCTGGCCTGCTTCTCATCCTTCACTCTCTGAAAACTTCAATACAGCCAAAACTCATCTGTCCATATCCTAAGTCACATTAATATAAAGCAAAGAACTGTCGATGCTGCAAGTCTGAAACAAACAAAAACAGGAATTGCTGGAGAAACTCAACAGATCTGGCAGCATCGATGCAGAGAAAACAGAATGAACGCTTCCAGTCCAGTGATGTATTCTATTCTGAAGAAGGGTCACTGGATTCGAAATGTGCATTCTGTTTTCCATCCAAAGATGCTACCAGATCTGCTAAGTTTGTCCAGCTATTTGTCTTTTTCTTTGTTTCAGATCTCCAGCATCCGTAGTTCTTTGTTTCATATTAATTTTATATTAAAACAATGAACCAGCTAGGCGAGCCAACCAACCATGACATCCACAACCCGAGCTACAAATCTACTCCAAAACCTTATGCTAATGCCCATCCCACACCCCATTCTAATCAACCTATACTGGTTCCTGGTCTCTCAATGCCTCAAAATGAATGTTTAAATACCCTGCACAATGATAACAATGAGTGATAATGAAAAGTACAATCACGTTTCAAATCCCAGAAGCAGCACAAAAATCCAGGCAGTCCTGAAGGGATGCTGCAGTATCGAATTTTTTTTTTGGTTGATGCATTCAACGAAGACCCTGTCTGCCTTCTGAGGTGGATGTCAAAGATCCCATGGTACTATTTAAGAGAGGGAGTATGCTGCCTCATCATAGTCACTTATTATCCCACAGTCAACATCAGTAGAACATGATAGTTGTCCTTTATCACAATGCAGTTTGTGGATGGATGCGTCGATTGTCTGTTGCTTCCTAAAACAGTGACTACACTTCAAAAAGCACTTTGTCAGCTATAAAAGTGATTTGAAGCTTCTTGGGGTCATGAAAGGTTCTATATAAATGTAAGGCAGCACGGCACCACCTTCTCAAGGGCAACTAGGATGGGCAATAAATGCTGGTCCAGCCAGTGACACCCACATCCCCATGAGTGAACAAAAAAGTGCTTCATTTACTATTCTCTGGAAAAAGATTTGCCCAACATCTAATCTAGTCCTGCCCTTATTTAACTTGCAAAGGTGAACCAAACCTTCCAGAGTCAGTCTAATTGAAATTATTTCTCCATGTGAACATAGTTTAGTCTGTTGATTATTTTACATATCTTGATCAAAACCCCAAAGTCTGCACTTTTCTGATGTATGCAGATTCATCTTAGGGAGTTGACTGACTCAGCAATTCTCTTGCTGTTTCTACCTGCCAGTCACTCAAACATGAGATAGTAGGAACTGCAGATGCTGGAGTGCTCATTTTTGAAAGTCAGTTCAGGTAAAGGCCACTAGAGAGAGCACTACACTGCAGCTGGACCATCCTTCTCTCTGACACAGGATATCTTGCTCATCAATTGCTTCTGATCTGTTCATCCAATTTCTAATCCTTAAAGAACAGAAACTGACACGCTAAACCTGCAGAAATAAAACATTGACTTCTTCATTGGTTTGTTGAGCTCTAGATCCCAGCAACATTCAGCAGGTGCCCTTCAAGAGATGTGCAGTGAAATGGTCTCATAGTCTGGGAAGGAAATGCTACTGAGATAAGATTGGAAAGTTAGCTGTGCAACTGGCAAAGGCAGCAGAATGTTTATCTGATATTCCAGTGCCGTCTGTCATTCTCCATCATATGCTCTCATCAATGCTGATGCTCCTATCTGCAACTTGCATTTGTCCCGTAAGTTATAAAGGGCTGATTGACCAAACCTTTTGGCAAACTGGTAGATTGGAAGGAGATTCCTAAAGAAGGAAACAGGGAGGAATTCCAGTGCTTAGTGTTCTGCCACCAATGGTGGGCAGTAATGCCAGACAAATTACCCTGTTCATTTAATCCTGCTCTGGCATAGACATTTACAGCACAGGAGGAGGCCATTTGGTCCATCATGTCTGTGCTGGTAAATAAAAATCTGACTACACTAATCCCATTTTCCAGCTTTTGGCCCGTAGCACAGGTAGCTACGGGAACAAGTGAACATCTAAACACCACTAAAATGTTACACAAGTTTCTGACTCAACCACCCTCTCAGCCAGAGAGTTCCAGAGTCACATCACAATCAGTGAAATAAAATTCTCAACTCTCCTCTGAGCCTTCTCCCTCTTACCTTAAAGCTATGGCCTCTGGTTATTGACCTCTTTTCTGAGGTAAAAGGTGCCTTACTATCCACCCTACATCCCTCATAATTTTACAATCCACTCGAAGATTCCAGTGCAAACTTCGCTGCTCGAAGGGAAGCGACTCCAGCCTATCCAACCTCTCCTCATAGCTCAGATCCTGCAGCCCAGGGAGCATCCTGGTAAATCGCATCTGTACCCTCTGAATGCAATCACATCCTTTCATAACGTGACCAGAACTGCATGTTCCAGCTGTGGCCTAACCGACACTTTGTGCAGATCCAGCACAACTTCCTTGCTCTTGTATTCAATGCCTCAGCCTATAAAGGCAACTATCCCATTTGTCTTCTTAACCACTTTCTCCCCTGCACAGTTCTGTGGAGATGCAAACTAAGGTCTCTCTGACCTTCAGTGCTTTCCATGTTCCTAGCATTCATATTGCAATTTTTCTATTTTTCATGAAAATTTTTTCTGTTGGTGTACAAATCAAACCTACTCACCTCAATGTCACTCCTGGCTCAGAATGTCACCTCTGGCCTATTCTTACTTCCTATATATTTCACGTGGATAAGTTTGTGCACTTTGGAATAAATGGATATTTGATCAGTTGGTTCACAAATAAATTAATCTGCTCTTGTTCCTTCAACGCAAATATTGAAAAGAACAGGGCAAGCCAGGGTAAGCCTCAACCTACAAAAAGAATCAACACTGCAGAGAGCATTTTTTTTAAAAGCAGAGCTGCATGATGGTTTCCATAATTAAACGAGGATTATTAATTTTCTGTGTTTAACTGTTTGCTTTTCACCACAAAACAAATCCACCTCCCTCGCCACACGCCCTATTTTTGTTCTGAACAAGAACAAATTTTGCATGCAGCTCTTGGCTGCTGAAGTCAGGCACCAGTTGACAAATGTCTAACCCTCTTGTCTCATCCATAAAGGTTAATTTCTTGCTGCAGCAAAGTTAAGGGAAATGGGATTCTGTCCAGGCCTCACACCAAAGGTGAGCCTCACAGAAGCACTGATGAAACCTGAGGGAGAGGTCTTAAGCAAAGTGATACAAAACAATCAAGTCAATGGGTGGTCGCAAAACATTTAAACTGAAGCATTTGAAAAACATTTTATTTTTATTTTCGAGCGAAGGATGCAGGATATTGGTCTTTTGAAAGAAAAACAGTTAGAAGTTAGGCCTTTGTGAGAGATATATGACACGATGAAGAAAACGATAAACTTTGTATATCTAACTTCGAGAACTAATACAAAGAGCATCTCAACTCCTTGGAGATTCTACTCAAAGACAAAATGACAGCTATCAAACCTCCCAGCAGTGTATACCTATGATATTTTCATGTGCAAATTTCTTTCCTCATCAACTTTGTACATAAAGTTTATGGTTATGGGTGAGCAACAATAAGAATATACAGCACAGCAATACAGCAAGTACACAAGATCCATGTAGCAGGCTGAATGTGTTAAAGAAGTCAGGTATCGAACTGTAAAATGTGACACTATTTAACCTACTGACACTCTTGGCACAACTTCAACTCCCTGCACAATTCACATGAATAACGAAGCTCAGACAATTTAGTGCACAGCATTCAATTGAGCAGGAAATGTAAAACATTGCAGGAAAATGCAATGAGACTGCTTCAAGTGAGCAAGTGTACTTGCATTTATATACTGCCTTGCATGACCTCAGGTCATTCCAATGTACTTTACAGCCAATGAAGAACTTTCAAAGTGTAGTTGTTGTTGTAACTTAGGAAATTTGTGCTCTTGACAAAGAAATAGTGTGTATTAGGAGTGTTGCTGTATTACCTTTGAAGTTTGTTGGTTGGCTTGCTCAAATCATGTGATCATGTGACAGGTACAAGCGCCACAGCAACACAAAAAGAAATTCTAGCAACACTTCAGTCAGCTCCTTGGATCCAGCCTCTCCACTCCACGCTAGTGCTCTCACATCTCGACCAATTTTCCAACTATGAGACAGTTCAATTACGTCAAACAAACATCCAACCTGTGCTTTATTCAGTGCATAAAATAACCCAATACTTGTAATTGGACTGTAAAGATAAATTTACAGGAGTCTAAGATATATAAGCCCTTCACTGAATGTAAAATGGTTTGAACATCCTGAGGTTGTGAAACGTACTATATAAATATAAGTTCTTTCTCTTTGTTACTAATATATTTGACAAGAAACATAGTTCAATTGGTGACGTAACAAAAGGTCCCACATCTTAGAATGGGTTTTTGAGATAGGAATGCTGACAATGCACTATTTTCCAACTCTCACTCCCTTCAAGTACAATTTGCTGGCCCATGTTTATGATGGGTAGATTGTAGCTGCAGTGCCATCATGGACAAGGTGGTGTGATTACAATATGAAAGTTTATGTTACACTTCCCATTATTAGCGCTCAGGACAGAATTCCAGTCCCTAAGGTGGGCACTGAATTATTTTCTGACCTTGTCCTACCTTTTTATCTGAAGGTTAAATGGTCTGGACTCGGAGTCTGCAATAACACAAGAGGGTCTACCCTATTGTTTCAGGGTAGCCAAACAAGAAGATTCCCCAGGAAAATCTACTGTTTAGGATTGTTTATCTTGGATTGGATGATAGAACACTGAGCTATTCAATGCTGTTTGTGTTCAAGAACAAAAAAGAAGTAAGATTTGAAAATGTAACTATTTCAACAATTATTCAACAGTAACAGTTCTATAAAAGTAAACAGATTCTTTTGAAGCAATAGTGAGTTATGATTTCATTCTAAAATTAGCTCCTCAATTTCAATGAAGGTTACACACTCTTGAGCAGAGTCCCTGCAGTAGCAATGTTCATCAGATATTGTTTGGAATCAGAATTTGCATCAGCTTTATAGAATGGCATGAACTCGGAACACATGGAAAGAATGGAGTGCTGCAGCAGCACAGCTGGAGTAACCTCTCAGGACGGATACCAGAAGATGCATACCTGACACACACTGTCAAATTCAGACTCACTGCCTGAAAATGACAATGACTACGAGAAAGAAATGCTACTGTGGTGACAAATAATTCTCACTTAACAGCAAATAGCCAAACATCAAGATCCTGACACCAGTGGAGTAGCTACAATCAAGCAGCGTAGGGGAAGTATTCTTATCTGTGACTCATCCAAGTAAACATAATATTACAGATAATCATGCGCAGTTTCTTCAGTTCTGCACAAGTCTACCCTTCACAGTTCAGATTTCACTCATTAGGGCGAAGTTTTCCTTTATGTGGGAACAGAATAGCACATGAACAATCCATTCATAACTTTTCCAAGATAAACAAATTCTGTACAGTGCCTGGTATATAAAATATGAAAATAACATTATCTCATATTCATTTGCAATTAATACCTTGATGACAGTCCCAATTTGTTCACCCACATTGTTGACATTACATCTAAAATACAGTGGAAAGGAGATTGTAACTTCATGTACAAATAAAAGTGCAGTTCTGCATTCAAACAGTCACAAAATTTATGATTTTAAACATCGACAGGCCTGTGGCAGAGACGTAGTTTAAGACTGAATGGGGTGTTCATATACAGCAAATGGAGGCAGCACAGTTCATACTGATACAATCCTTTCGGACTGTTTAACCATCAAAAAAATTAATGCCCCTCGATATAACAATCAGTGCTCCGTATTTTTTAGTTTGAGAATTGAAATATCTGAAGTCTGTTTTCAATCACTGAATGAAGATTCACTGCCAGAACTGTCTCCCTCATGTTCTTTAACCCCATCGGGAACTGGGGCATCTGGAGTCCTGCACAGGGAAAAACAGTAATACGTGAAATTATCAAACAGCATAATCCTAAAGGAATCAGCACAGTGAAATTGCAGCAGTGATTCATGATGGAAAAAACAATCTGTAGCAAATAAAAAAAACAGAAGCTTTGTCAACTGCAATTTAACTTGCACAAATATTCTAATTTATCTGTGATGCATGACTGCTGGGATACTAAGGCATTCAGTTAAGGAGGCTATATATTGAAATAATAGCCAATACAGTGCAGAGCTGGAGGAACACAACAGGTCTAGGCCTGAAATGTCGACTCTCCTGCTCCTCTGATGCTGCCTGACCTGCTGTGTTCCTCCAGCTCCACACTGTATTGACTCTGACTCCAGCAACTGCAGTTCTTGCTATCTCCTATTGAAATAAGAGATATGTTTTGCGGGCATTGTGTAGGACACATACAGGCAGCTGCTGCAGCTCAGCAGGTAACAACACTAACTTTGACCCAGAAGGCCCAAGGTTTAAGTCCTACTCAAGGGGACTTCTGAACACGAGTCTTACTGGATTTGAAATGTTAACTCCATTTCTCTCTTGTTAGACACTGTCAGATCTGCTGAGGTTCTCCAGTATTCACTGTTTTTATTCCATTCCAGGGCTTAATGGCTATGAAAGAACCTTGCTACTGCTGCAGGAAAGCCAATCAGATGTTTTAAGGAAGCATCTCATCATCACCATGTTAACAGAGGAAGCCAGCTAGGAATGTAAAAACAGATAGCAAGAGTTTCTTCAGGTATTTAAAAAGGAAAATAGTAAGTAAAAGTGAATGCAGGTCCACTAGAGAGTGAGAATGGGGAGCTAACAGTAGATAGTAAGGAAATGATGGATGAAATGAAAAAATATTTTGCTTTTGATTTCACATTGTAGGATAAAAATATCATTCAAGTAATAGCTATAAATCTGGAGGTGGAAAGGAGAAAGAAACATAGAGCAACTACAATCATAAGGAAAGCTGAGAAAATTGATGGAGCTGTGGGTTGACAAGTCTCTGGGTCCAGATGGACTTCATCTTAGGGTCTGAAAAGAGGTGATAATTAGGTAGTAGATGCATTGGTGTTAATTTTCAAAACGTACTAGATTTAGGAGACGTTCCAGCAGACTGAAAAGTAGCAAATATAAACCCTATGTTCAAGAAAGGAAGCAGGCAGAAAGCAGGAAGCTATAAGCCAGGTCACTTAATGTCTATGCTGAGGAATGCACCAGAATTGATCACTAAAGATATGACAGTTGCACCCTTAGATTTAAAATACATTTGGACAGATAAATGAATAGGAAAGGTTTAGAGGGATACGGGTCAAACACTGGCAGGTGAGACTAGTTTAGTTTAGGAAACTTGGTCTGCACAGACAAGTTGGACTGAAGGGTTTGTTTCCATGCTGTATAATTCTATGACACTATAATCAGGAAGAATTAGCAAAGTTTTGTCAAAGAGATAGCTTGCTGAACCAATTTATTGGAAATTCTTGAATGCATAATATGCACTGTTGATAAGGCACTGAATAAGGTGCTACATCAATGTTATTGCAGAAAACAAAATCTCATGTATAGGGGGCAACATACTGGCATGGATAGAAGATTGGCTGTCTGGTAGAAAACAGAGACTTTGCACAAATGTCTGATTGGTAACAGGTGACCAACGGAGTTCTGCATGGGTCTGGATTAGGGCCTCAACCTTCTATAATGTACATCAATGACTTGGATGAGCAGACTAAAGGTGTGGTAGATAAGCTCACAGATGGAACCAAGATAGGCAGGAAAGTATATTGTGAAAACGACTTCAGAAAGTTTCAGACAGATATCAATGGGATGAGTAAGTGAGCAAACTTCTGGCAGATGGAGCTTAATGTGGGAAAATGTGAGGTTGGCAGGAAAAATGAAAAAGCAAAAAAAACTGAATATTACTTAAATGGAAAATGACTATAAAATCTGGAGATACAGAGGGACTTAGGTGATCTAATATACGAGTCACAAAAAGCTAGTATACAAGTGCAACACGTAATCAGAAAGGTGGATGGGATGTTATCCTTTATTGCGGGAGGAATTGAACATAATGTAAGGATGTTACACCTCGGTTATACATGGCATTTGTGAGACTACATCTCGAGTACTGTGAGCAGTTTTGGTTTCCTTATTTAAGGAAGGGTGTAAATACACTGGAGGCAGTTCAGGACATGTTTACTATGGGAGTGTGGAATTTGAAACACAAACTGAACAGCCATGATCTTACTGAACATTGGAGCACGCTCGAGATACAAAGCGGTCTACTTCTGTACCTAATTTGAATTTTGTAAGAGTAATTAGAGACGGCAAATAAGTACTGGCTTTGCCAACAATCATAGATGGCTTGTGATCTTAACATCATTTAATGTATATATCCCATGACACACTTACTGAACAAAATGCTTACTGATCTCAATTTTGCAAACTTCAATTGCATCATAGCCTCTATAGCTTTTTGAAGAACAGAATTCCAGATTTCCACTATCCTGCGTGTTTGCTTTTCACTCCCTGGTCTTGTTTGTTTGAATTTCGTGGGGCCAACAGATTGGATAGGGCTATTCTTGGCACCAGTGGCTCCAAGGAGCACATCAAAATCTGTTAGAAGGCTTGAAAAGCTTCCAACTCTCTATAAACATTCTTGTAAGCTTTGTACGTGACTCACAAAATTCTCTGGACACACGGTATAGGGCAGCATTGGACAGAGCCCATTCTTCTGCTTCAAATGAATTAACTATTTATGAGTCAGAGAGAACAGAACATTTGAACAAATGGAGAAGAAATTTCAGAGGTTAGTGGAAACTTACTCCAACAGCTCTGGGCTGAGTCCTTCAGAAATCATTTTGTTTCTTATGGCCATAACAGGAACACCCTGCAACACAGAAAGCAGATTTAGAGAATTCATCTACATTGTGAACAGTTCAAAAGAGCATGATTTGAGCAGAAGAGGTGGAATAGCAGTTAGGTGAACGGTGAAATATTGTTATAAGAAATTCTTCAAATGAGCTATGAAAAAAAGAACTTAACAGTTTGAAATTCTGTAGCACTATTTACACATGCAAAGATACCTGAAAGTGGTTTGTGCTGGATGTGGATAGCACAAAGGAAGAGGGATAGGGTTAGATTAAGCAGCTGTAGTAATGCATGCAGAGAAGGGAGGGTCAGAGTTTTGGAGAAGCAGGGAACAAGCGATAGGTCAGAGCAGAGGGTACTTGCAGGGATTTAACACAAAGAATTTGTATTTAAACAGCACTGTTCAAACACTCAGGATGTTCCAACATACTATATAGTCAATTCTTAAAGTTTAATCACCTTTGTAATATAGGAAAAATGGCAGGTAATTTACACACAGAAATTTCCCACAAACAGTAATGTTATAATGACTATTTGTTTTAGGGGTGTTGGTTGAGGGATAAATATTAGCCTGGAGTCAGCGGTGAACTTCCACTGTGCCTCAAATACTACTACTGGGCCCTTTCACATTCACGTAAGGCAGACAGTGCTAATGGCTCAGGGCTGATGCTCTGAAGACATGGGATCAAATCCCTTATGGTAGCTGGTGGAATTTCAATAAGTAAAATCTGCAATTGAAACTATCAATTGTCATAAAAACCCATTCGGCTAACTACCTTTCAGGAAGGAAATCCACAATCCTTACCAGATCTGACCTACATGTGACTCCAGATCCACAGCAAAGTGGTTGACTCAACCATATTCTTAAATGGCCCAGCAAGCCACTTAGTTCAAGGGCAATTAGGGGATGGCAACAAATATGGCTATAAGACCATAAGACATAGGAGCAGCATTAGGCCATTTGGCCCTTTGCGTCTGCTCCTCCATTTGATCATGGCTGATATGTTTCTTAACCCCATTCTCCTGCCTTCTGCCTGTAACCCTCGATCCTTTTATTAATCAAGAACCTACCTATCTCTGTCTTAAATAACCTCAATGACTTGGCCTTCACAGCCCTCTATGGCAATGAGTTCCACAATTAACCACCCTCTCACTGAAAAAATTCCTCCATATCTCAGTTCTAAAGGGTTGTCTCTCCATTCTGAGCCTGTTCCCTCAAGTCTTAGTCTCTCCTACTAATGGAAACATCTTCTCCATGTCCACTCTATCCAGGCTTCTCAGTATTCTGTGAGTTTCAATCAGAACCCCCTTCATCCTTCTAAATTCCATCGATTACAGACCCAGAGTTCTCAACCACTTCTCATATGGCAGGCCCATCATCCCTGGGATCATTCTTGATCCTGTGGACCCCCTCGGAGGGCAGCACATCCTTGCTTAGGTAAGGGGCTGAAACCTGCTCACAATAGGGGGAGTATTTGCTAGGGAGGCTTTAAACCAAAACGGCAGGGGGTTGGGAACCGATGCAAGATGTCAGAGAAAGGGGAATCAAGGAAAGAACAAAAAACAGAACAGGGAATAAGAAAAGTGATAGGCAGAGAAATCAAGGGCCAGGATCAAACATGAACACAGTGAAAAATAATGGGAATAGGATAAGTAATGTTAAAAAGATAAGCTTTAAAGCTTATGCCTTAATGCACAGCGCATTCACAATAAAGTGGATGAATTATTCATGCAAATAGATGAAAACAGGTGTGATACAGTCGGGATTATGGAGTAACGGCTGGAGGGTGACCAGGGATGGGAAAACTGAATATGCAGGGATATTCAATTTAGAAAGGACAGACAGAAAGGAAAAGGCAGTGGAGTTGTACTGCTAGTTAAAAAGGAAATTATTGCAATAGTGAGGAAGGATATTAGCTCTGATGATGTGATATCTGTAGGAGTGGAGTTGAGAAACACAAAAAGTCAAAAAACGTTAGTGGAGGTTATATCTAGACCCCAGACTGGAGGGGTGATATTGAGAATAGCATTAAATACAAAATTAGAGATGTCTGCAACAAAGGAACATTTGTAATTATGGGTAACTTTAATCTGCACATAGATTGGGCAAAACAAATTAGTAACAATATTGTGAAGGAGGAATTCCAGGAACGTATAGGGGATGGTTTGCTGGACTAATATGTTGAAAAACCAACTAGAGAACAGCCCATCCCAGATTGGGTATTGTGTAATGAGAAAGGAATAATTGGCAATCTAAATACACAAACCCCTTGGGGATAAGTAAGCATAATATGATAGAAATCCTCATCAAGATGGAGAGTGATGTTGTTGATTCTGAGACTAGGGTCTGAACCCAAATAGAGTAAACTACAGTGGTAGGAGGTGCGAGTTGGCTATGATAGACTGGGGAATGTGATACAGAAGCTCGAACACATGCACCAACAGGTTCAAGAACAGTTTCTTCCCTGCTGTTATTAGACTGCTGAATGGGCCTCTCTAATTTCAAATCTAATGCTGACCTTGCTTTTGTGCACCTCCTGTGCAGTCATAACTTTGTAGGCCTCGCTTTAAGCACCCTATAATCTATATGTCCTTGTTTGTTATGATCTGCCTGTACTGCTTGCAAAACAAAACTTTTAACTGTACTTAGGTAGATGTGACAACAACAAATCAAATCAAAGACTGTGGAAAGGCAATGGCAACCATTCAAAGAGCAACAGTTCATTCTTCTCTGGTGCAAAAGTGAAATGTAAGAAGTGGCTAAATTACGGCGTACAAGGGAAATTAGAGATTAGGTCTGAGGAAGAAGCATACAAGTTGGCCAGAAAAAAACAACAGGAATGGGAGTAGTTTAAAATTCAGCAAAGGAGCACAATGGGATTAATTAAAAAAGGGAAAATAGAGTATGAGAGTAAGTATTTGAAAAGAGAAAAAGACTGGTGAATACCTTAAACGTTCCTTACAGTCAGAAACAGGGGAATTTACAATGGGGAATAAAGAAATGGCTGACCAGCTAAATATATATTTTGGCTCTGTGTTCACAAAGACAGACATAACTAATATACCAGAAATGTTGGGGAACTCAGGGTTAAGTGAAAAGGAGGAACTGAAGAATATCAGCATTAATAGGACAATGGTTTTGGGGAAATTGATGGGATTGGAGGCCGATAAATCCCCAGGGCCTGATAATCTACATCCCCAAGTACTTAAGGAAATGACCCTAGAGATTGTGGTCATCTTCCAAGATTCTTTAGACTCTGGAATAGTTCCTACGGATTGGATGGTAGCTAATGTAACCTAACTATTTAAAAAGGGAGGCAGTGAGAATTACAGAACAGTTTGCCTGATGTCACTAGAATCCATTATAAAAGAATTAGTAGCTGAGCATTAGAAATCAGTGGAAGGATCAGACACAGTCAGCATAGTTTTGCGAAAGGGAAATCATGCTTGCTAAATCTACTGGAATTCTTTGAGAATGTAATTCATATATTTGATGAGGGGGAGCAGGTGAATCATAGAATTTTACAGTACAGAAGGATGCCATTTGCCCCATCATTTCTGCACCAGCTCCTGAAAGAGCTCCCAGCTAGTCTCACTCTCCCACCCTATTCTCATAGCGCTCTAACTTCATCACTTTCAAATATATATCCACCTCCACCACTCTCCCAGGCAGCACATTCCAAATCCTAACAAGTCTCTGAGTAAAGATGTTTCTCCTCATCTCACTCCTAGCTCTCTTGCTGACAATCTTGAAATTATGACCTAGTTACTGACTAGTGGAAATAGAATATTCTTTTTTACCCTATCAAAATTGTTCATTATTTTGAACACCTCAACAAGGTCATCTCAACCTTCTCTGCTCCAAGGAGAATATGCCCAATCTCTCTAATATTTCCTTGTATCTAAAATCCTTCATTCCTGGCATCATTCTAGTGAATCTTCTTTGAACACTCTCCAGGTCTTTAACATCCTCCCTTAAATAAGGTGCCCAGAACTGAACACAAGACTCCAAATGTGGTCCGACCAATGATTTGTAGAGGTTTAGCATCACTTCCTTGCCTTTATACTCTATGGCTCTATTTATAAACCTAAGGATCCTATAAGCTTTCTTAACACAATGGGTGTAGTTTATTGAGACTTTCTGAAGGCTTTCAATGTAGCCCCACAGAACAGCTTTAGTCTGTAAAGTTAAAGTACATCGGATTAGAGGTAGTGTATAGAGATTTGCAGAAAACTATTTGGTAGACAGGAAATGAAGAAGAGGAATAAATGGGTCATTTTCTGACTGGCAGGCAGTGACTGGGGCACAGAAATCGGTGCTTGGATCCCAGCTATTCACACTATATATTAGTAATTTAGATGAGGAACTAAATGTAATACCTCCAAGTTTGCGAATGACACAAAGCTGGGCAGGAAGGAACTGTCAGGAGGATGCAGAGATGATTCAATATGATTCAGACAAATGGAATGAGTGGGAAAATGCATGGTAGATGCAGTAAAATGTTGATAATTGTGAGATTATCCACTTTGGTAGCAAAAACAGGAAGATTTATTGTTAATTGAATGGCTATAAATTGGAGAAAAGGGAATATCAACAAGATCTTGGTGCCCTTGTACACCAGTCGCTGAAAGTAAGCATGCAGGTGCAGCAGGTGGTGAAGGATGTAATTGGTATGTTGCCCTTCATAGTGAAAGGATTTGAGTACAGGAATAGGGATGTCTTCCTGCAATTCTACAGGGCCAGGTGAGACCGCACCTGAAACAGCATGTGCAATTTTGGTCTCCTTATCTGAGGAAGGATGTTCTTGCAACAGATGAAGTGCAACAAGGGTTTTCCAGACGGATTGCTGGGATGGCAGAACTGACCTGAGGAGAGGTTGAATAATTGGAGTTCAGAAGAATTAGAGGGAGGGGAATCTCGTAGAAACCAATAAGATTTAATAGGTCTGGACAGGGTAAATATAGGAAAGATGTTCTTGGTGGGGGGGGGGACCAAAACCAGGGGTCACAGTCTAAGGATATGGGGTAGGCAATTTATAACTGAGATGAGGATAAAGTTCTTCAATCAGAGAGAGGTGAGCCTGTGGAATTTGCTACCACAGAAAGCAATTGAGGCCAAAACACTGTATGATTTCAAGGATTTGGATATAGCACTGGCACTAAAGAAATCAAAGGTTATGGGGGGAGAAAAGCAGGAACAGGCTATTGAATTAACTGATCATAATGAATGGCAGAGCAAGCTTGACAGGTTGAATGGCTTACTCCTATTTTTCTATGTTTCTATGTGAAAGGATGTCATCAAGTAAACTACAGTGGTAGGAGGTGCGAGTTGGCTATGATAGACTGGGGAATGTGATACAGAAGCTCGAACACATGCACCAACAGGTTCAAGAACAGTTTCTTCCCTGCTGTTATTAGACTGCTGAATGGGCATCTCTAATTTCAAATCTAATGCTGACCTTGCTTTTGTGCACCTCCTGTGCAGTCATAACTTTGTAGGCCTCGCTTTAAGCACCCTATAATCTATATGTCCTTGTTTGTTATGATCTGCCTGTACTGCTTGCAAAACAAAACTTTTAACTGTACTTAGGTAGATGTGACAACAATAAATCAAATCAAAGACTGTGGAAAGGCAATGGCAACCACCAAGAGAAAGAAAATTAACATACCACTTGGACCATCTTCAGGTATCTTGCATATCGAGGGTCCTTGGCAACAGTAATAACATTTTCTGTCAGCGAATCTGCTTTGCTTTGGGTTGTAGATTCAATATTTTGTTGGACCTGAAAAATAAAAATAACTCCAATTTGAGACAAAAATCAACAGTGTCAAAATCTGAAATGAAAGGAACTAAATTTATTTAAATTTTAAATAAAAAAATCTGCTCAGGACAAAACCTATTTAACAAATTGCCTCATACAGAAGGTACAAAACAAAGACAGATGCAGTCAAACTATCCTCTGAAGTGCACCCATGCATTCAAAGTTGACCGATGGTTGGGGAAAGGTGAAAATGGATTATCTGCATACAAGACAGCATTTATATATAGCTTGTTACTCTGAAGTGATGTTACATAGACAAGCGCAGCATCATTCTCTGCAAATGACAAGAAAACCATTCTGGGTACTGTCCCCACTACTTACAAGAGATTTAATGGTGTGAATGAGATTCACCTACTGTAGGCAATGGGAGCTGGAAAAGCCAATGCAGTAACAAGAAAAACTTATATTTGCACGGTGGGCTGAATACAACAAAATGGCCCAAGCCATTTCACAGGAGCACCAAACAAAATCTAACCATGAGGGACAGGAGCAGTTATTAGGACAGACGGTCAAAGACTTCCATCAACAAAATAGATTTAAGGAGCAACTTAAAAGGAGGAGAGAATTAGAGGAGAGGTGAAGTTTAGGGAGAAAATCGCAGAATTCTGGGTCAATGCAACAGACAGCATAGACATAAATGGTGCTGCGGTCAAAATCAGGAATGCTCAAGTGGAAGCAGGCATCTCAGGAGGTTATGTGGATGAAGGAGGAGGTTACAGAGACAAGGATCGGAAAAGTCACGCAGGGGCCATAAAAGATGAAGGATGAGAAATTTAAAATCAAGGTGTCATTTAACAAGGAAGCAAATTAGGATACAGGCAGCAAAATTTTAGATGGGTTCAAGTTTATGCAGGGTGATCTGTAGGAGGCCAGCCAGGAGAGCACTGCAGAAGCCAGGTTGAGAGGCAATAAAGGCATAGATGAAGGTTTCAGCAGCTGATAAAACACAATTGGAGATAGGCAATGCTACAGCAATTGAACAAGGCAAAATTGATAATAAAGCACAAAAATCATTAGAAGCTCATCTCCTGGACAGACAGGATGCCAAGGCAGTGAATGATTTGGTAGCAGAGGCTGAGACATGCTCACTTATCGAAAGCAAAGAATGGGAGCTGGCCAACAGAACAAAGGAATAGACTAGAGGTGGTAAGGACATAGATGAGGGGATCAGGAGCAGATAAAGTGGGTGGTGCCATAGAGCTGGAAGCAGATTATCTTGACGATGAGGAGGATACAAGTTTGAACGCTTAACCAGGATCAAAAAGAATGGCAAGGTTGCAAATGTTCTGGTTCAGCCTCAGGCAGCAAGTTGCTAAGGAGAGGGATAGAGTTAGTGGCAAGGCGGCAGGCGAGAGATACAACATGCAGATTGAAAAGATCTATTACGTTTTTGCCACTTAGCATATTCGGGACAAACCAAAAGAAAAAGCTACCCCTGTCAGTCCATGAGAAGATGTGGGACTATAACACTGACCTTTGATCCAATTGAATGAGAGAGCACAGCAAGAAAGGAAAGCAGAAGAACAAACTCTCTAGCAGCTGGTCGGAAAACGGGAAGTGGGTGAGGGACGAAACCCTGCTGTTATTGAAGCAGGGTCATCTGTTAAAAGAAGGATTCCATGATAAAGCACACATAAAATAGCCAGATCACTTAACATGCCACAAGTGGAGCCTTTTTAACTGACTAGACTGGCAACGGTGAATGATTAGAATGGTGTGAGTGAGAAAGTGCTGGTCAGATGCATAGATGGTGTACTTGGTGGGAGTGTACTCCAATCAAGTACGGAAGGTTTTAAAAGTCCTATATTTTGTTGATAAGAACAGCTTTAACATGCCGCGATATTCAATCTTAAAAGATAATGCAGAGACATGATATATTTCCTAACTAATCTTTTCCTTGCAATTGACCATGTGATTTCAAAACAAGGAACTTAAGCCCAATACAAGCTGGATGACAGCTCCTGTTTTGAGACCCTCTTGCTAAGCAGCTACAATTTTGCACTCCATCATCAAATACAGGCCAACATGACAACATGGAATGTTCACATAGGACTAACATTAAATATGAAATTCTCTGCTCTTTACTCAACTCCAAGTTAAAAACATTAGGTTGGAAAACAAGTCGAAAAATGAAAAAGATTGGAAAACAACACAGTAAACCAACTCAAGACCATTCACAGGGCTGATACCAAACAAAATTTGACATTGAGCAATGTAAGATGTCAGGTAACTAGAAATTTGGGTTGAAGCAATAGGTGCTTAAGATATGTAGCAGGAGTTTAGGAAAGGAATTCCAGAGCTAAGGGCCTGGGCAGCTGAAGGCACAGCTGCAAAGAGAGCAGAGATGGAAACTGAGGATGTGCAAGGTGCCGGAATTGGAAGAGAACAGAGATTTTGCAGAGTTGGGTGTTGGAGATACACTGAACACAAAGATGAAAATTTTAAATCTCAGGCTTTGCTGGATATGGAGCCAACTTAGGTTAGTGAGCACAGGGGAGCATCCCTCTTCCTCTCCAAGCAAACAAACTAAAATTGGAAGCAAAAATAGCAGAAAGAAAAAAAAATTATGCCCATCAACATTCTCCTAAACAATGCCACACTGATTTTGTTCAAGTAAAATACCTTGAACGGCAAACAATATTTTTCAGTACACAGAGGAATTTTCTCATTTGCACTCTACACCTCTCGGCACACCATTACCAACTTAAACCCAGAACCAGCATCTTCTGCACTATTTTATTTGGCAAGTTATTTTGTATAACAGTTTAAAAGTGAAAGGAGACATCTTTGAGAGGGTTTGTCTGAAAACATGCTGCATCCAGAATTCTTAGACTACAAAATAATATAGAGGTCGAACGACTGGTTAAGAGGAAGAAGGAGGCTTAGGATCAAGCAAAACTCCAAAGCTTTTTACACGTATGTGCCTCTTGTTTTCAGCGGCAGCAGCGCGAGCCAGAGTGCTGACGGGAAGGTAAGGCGGTTTTTGTTTCTCCCTGTATAAAAAAAAACTTAGCTTGTGCAGCAAGCGGCCCTCTTGTTTTCAGCGGTGGGTGTGTGGAGGGAATGCGAGCCAGGAAGAAACAGATAAATTCAGGCATTGGCTAAACCCGAAACACTACACGTGTTGTGTCTCCCACCCATCCTCCTCCTCTAACCAAAAAAGACTGTGTGGAGGTTCGGTAAGGTAAGGCATTTTTTTATTCTTCTTCTGGAAATCTAGAGTAGAGGGAATGGAAGCTAGGGCAGTTGCATGCTCCTCTTGCAGGATGTGGGAGGTAAGGGTCACTGCTGGTGTCCCCTCTGACTTCACCTGCGAGAAGTGCACCCAACTCCAGCTCCAGCTCCTCACAAACCACGTTAGGGAACTGGAGCTGGAGCTGGATGAACTCCGGATCATTCAGGAGGCTGAGGGGGTGATAGAGAGGAGTTACAGGGAGGTGGTCACACCCGAGGTACAGGAAAAAGGTAGCTGGGTGACTGTCAGGAAGGGGAAAGGGAATAGGCAGACAGTGCAGGGATCCCCTGTGGCCGTTCCCCTCAATAATAAGTATACCGTTTTGGATACAGTTGGGGGGGACGACCTACCAGGGGAAGGCCATAGCGGACAGGTCTCTGGCACTGAGCCAGACCCTGTGGCAAAGAAGGGAAGGGGGGAGAATAGGAGAGCAATTTTAGTGGGGGATTCAATAGTAAGAGGCACAGACAGGCGGTTCTGTGGTCGCAACCGAGATGAAAGGATGGTACGTTGCCTCCCGGGTGCCAGGGTCCATGATGTCTCAGATCGTGTCGTCAAGATCCTTAAGGGGGAGGGTGAGCAACCAGCAGTCATGGTACACATCGGTACCAATGACATAGGTAGAAAAAGGACTGATGTGAGAAACGAGTACAGAGAGTTAGGTTGGAAGCTGAAGTCCAGGACAAACAGGGTAGTTATTTCTGGATTACTACCAGTGCCACGTGATGACGAGGTAAGAAATAGGGAGAGAGTGCAGCTAAACATGTGGCTACAGGGCTGGTGTAGGAGGGAGGGCTTCCATTATGTGGATAATTGGAGCACATTCTGGGGAAGGTAGGACCTGTACAGTAAGGACGGGTTGCACCTGAACCAGAAGGGCACAAATATCCTGGGAGGGAGGTTTGCTCGAGCTGTACGGGATGGTTTAAACTAGTTTGGCAGGGGGGTGGGGAACCGGATTTATAATTCAGAGGATGAGGTATTCGGCCTTCCAACAGACACAACAGGGAGTGAGGTGGTTTATAAAGAAATGCGGTCGATGGAGCATAATTGCGGACACCGAGATGGTTTGAAGTGTGTATACTTCAATGCAAGAAGTATCAGAAATAAAGCGGATGAGCTTAGAGCATGGGTCGGTACTTGGAACTACGATGTTGTGGCCATTACAGAAACTTGGGTAACTCAGGGAGAGGAATGGTTGTTGGAAGTTCCAGGATTTAGATGCTTTAAAAGAAATAGAGAGGGTGGAAAAAGAGGTGGGGGAGTGGCATTGCTAGTCAGGGCGAGTATAGCAGCTACTAAAAGGCAGTTCGAGAATGATATGTCTACAGAGTCAGTTTGGGTTGAGGTCAGAAACAAGAAAGAAGCAGTCACTTTGTTGGGGGTTTTTTACAGACCCCCTAATAGTTGCAGAGAAGTAGAGGAGCAGATTGGGAGGCAGATACTGGAAAGGTGCAGAAGTCACAGGGTTGTAGTCATGGGTGACTTCAACTTCCCAAATATTGTTTGGAAACATTTTAGTTGTAATAGTTTAGATGGAGAGGATTTTGTCCAGTGCGTTCAGGAAGGATTCCTGACACAATATGTAGATAGACCAACACGAGGAGAGGCCACTTTGGATTTGGTGCTTGGCAACGAACCGGGCCAAGTGTTAGACCTGTTGGTAGGACAGCATTTTGGCGGTAGCGATCATAACTCTGTTTCTTTCACGACAGTCATGGATAAG